ATTTATATTATTTACAGTTTAGATAGTATTTACAGTTTTTCCAAGCGCAATTATTTACACATTAACAATTATTTACAAAATCATCAAGCGCCGTGACCTTCGACGTGTCCCCCTTCTCTTGCAACACAAAGCATTGTTCGCCTGTGCATATCTCGAACTGCCCGTGTAACGAAGGCAGGCTGCTCTCGCAAAGCGTTAAATTCTCGGATGATTTTTTGGCGCAACTCGTCAATATCGCGCGGTGGACTTGAGAATACCTTATCTTTAATATATCCCCACAAAAAGAAGTCGCATGGTGTCAAGTCCGGTGACCTAGGTGGCCATTCAACATTATGACCCAGCCCAATGACATGGTTGTTCCCAAACACAGCATTCAGCCGATCTCTGACTGCGATCAGGCGATGTGCAGGCGCGCCGTCTTGAGCCCACCATAGACCCCGAAACATTCCCTCCCAATGCTAATTATTAAAACGTTCAGCTAGTTGCGGGAAGACAAATTCATTGAACATTCGGAGATAGGCGATTCCGTTTACATTCTGTTCGAAAAAGTAAGGCCCAAAAATCATTCCGTTACCACAAAGCGCTGCCCAGACCGTCAGATGCTCACGAGAATGGCTCCTTTCAAAATTAAACGCAGGCGGGTGTCCTTTAGGCGCATACTGTCGTACGTTTTGGGTGTTGACTTCGCCATTCATTACAAATGATGCTTTGTCTCCGATAAGGAAACTATCCAAGAAATTTTCTCGGCGGCAGCGTTCGTTAAGCCAACCGGAAAAGCGTAATCGATGGGCAAAGTCAGCTGGCAACAATTCGTGTCGTACATGCATTCGATATGGGTGCCATTTTATGTCCTGCCTTGTTATGCGGTTAAAGCTTGCACGAGAAATTGGAATAGGGTTGCGACGAGCACTCATGTGAGGGTTTTCCTGCAGTATATCCCTAACAGCGTCAATGTTTTCTGCAGTTCGAGTAGTTCTTCTTCTGCCGGAATTGCCTTTATTGAGGTTTAGACTGGTTCCGGAGTTTTCGTATTTCCTTACGTTTTCCAAAATTGTGCTTGCCGCAGGTGGATTGCGATTTGGGAACCTCTCGAAAAGCGTTTCGCACTTGTGTCGTACTTTGTGTTCTCGTATAATTTAACACGACAAAAACTCTTTGTTCGGGGTTTAGTTGAACCATTTCTCTCGAAGTGATGACAGGAATAATTTGTAATGTTCTCATTTTTGTTAATCCGTAATTTCTTTTCCAATTTACGAAGCATTTTTAAATTCCCATGAGCAAACAAACGTTCACTTTATAAAGATATTTTAATTTTTTAAAACAAATTAATCACCCTGTCAAAATCCTTTGTGTTACGGCATTGAAATTCGAACAATACGTCAATTTCAATGATTTTGGGTTTTTTTGAGACACCCTGTAGTGGATCACACTGTAGACACCTTTATTACACACATGTGTGTATTTGTGTTGCTCGTGATTTTTTGCCGAAATATTTTTCAATAGAAGAGTTAAGGCTACAAGAAGCACAGTACTGACTATTTTTGAATAGAGACTTATGTACAACTGCTGCTATTATTACACTTGTACAAGCAAATATTGTTTTCTTATATAGAGAAATGATGTTGTTTTTACGATATAGGTTCAAGTTTTTTACATGCTTTCCAAAAATGCAGCAAATAATTTTGTGACTCTGATGTATGAATTGGAACAAAAGAGTTCACTCAGAACGCAGGAAATCGCATTTCCGAGGTCCTAGATTTCAAAATTTCACGGGGGAGGATACCCCGGACCCCCCTACAAATGCAAGGTTTTAGGCATCAGTCAGCTCAGGAACTGGATCCACCCCTGTGCAGAGGCAACAATTTAAAGAAGAAAAAATCCTGCATGGAAATCCTAAAGAGGCTCTGAGAACAGAATGCACCTGTAAAAGGCATGGGGAATGAGAAACTTTTGCTTTGGAGACACTGCAATTTAGCTGCTATGTTAAAGAGTTGCATTTGAAAAGGTGAGGAAAGTATAGAAATCTAATGCTTGCTGAACCGGCAAATAGTGGAAAGACTTTCCTGCTGAATCTGTTAAATAAAATTTGGAGCACTTTTACCCTGCATCCAACAGTTCCGCATGTGAAAATGCAGACGTTTTTTTGAAATAATTGCTTGGCAAGATTTACTCCTACACAAAGGTCAACACCTACCTGCTCCCAAGTCGCATTTCACTAAGGATGTGACATGTAAGGAAGACATGCCTATATGTTTGGCACAACCACTAGACTGCTCAGTTATGTTAAGAATGGATACCTGGACTTAATGGAACAATTGCTCTCCAGCCAGGTAACTGAGCTAAGAATTAAGAATACAGGGTTATAAAAACAAACAGAGTCCTCACATGAAGTGTAAATTTCAAAGCGAATATGAAAGTTAGATGTTTATACTTGCATTTGTTCGAAATCGCGATCTTTCGGCTATTTGATATACTTTATTTTTATAAAATTTGGAGTTATTGCTGGCAAGCTGTGTCAATTTAAGTAAGTGCAATTGGAAAATTAAAAAAACGTGGATGTCTTGAATTCACAATGTATTTAAACGTTCCAAAGAATAAGTTAGAAGTACACATTTACTCAAAGTTCATTCTTTGTCTCATATCCAAGACAACTCTTTGGATAAGTTCTGGGAAGACATTTGCCTCATTCTGTATCCTTTGACGAAGGTCGTTGATATCTTGTGATGGTGTACAGTCCTTAAGGTACCCCCAAAGGAAATAATCATAAGTAACAATAACTGCTCGTAATACCCAAAAAAGTTTTTGCAGGGGGATGGGCAAAAAAAAATTTGAGGTTTACAGTATATAGGTATGACTAACTCCTACTGTCAGTCTAAGCTTGTGAGAGTATATTTGAAAACATTCACATTCAGGATTTGCAAGAGTTTGACATCAATGTATTGTGTATACACATTTGTGCATTCACTGCAAACCTTGTTGTAATTAACATTTTGGTGCTTTGACAAACTCACCAAGGTAATTTCTTTTGCATTGGTGAAATAACACTGTATAGGTTCAGTTTTCACAATGACCTTTGAGTACTGTTCTTCAAATTCCTATAAAATTTAAGTATACAATGTAGATAAACAATGAATGTTTTTATTTTCAGTGCCACTGGAAAAAAGATACATAATATATACTATACTACATCAATAAAGTACCAGCTAAAGTCATGCTGAGGCCGGACATAAATGCATCAATTTAATGATTTCACACTTGGTCTAACTTTCTCGTACGAATGAGTGGGAAGAAAGTGAAGATTCATGCGAAATATCTGCGAAACTATCCACAACACTTTGGACGATCACAACAGCTTCGAATGTTGCACCAAGTCTATTCTTTACAGAAACTGTTGCAGGATTTCACCATCCAAGATCCTTAAGAAAATAATAAATAACATTTAAAGTGCAACTATCCATACACAAACAAACTAGATTTGTGATAAACATACTTCTAAAAACTCACTTGTGCATGTAATATCCAAATTGCACTCAAAACCATGCTATTACCTATACTAATTAATTTAAATTAGAGAACTATCGGTTTTCTCTTAATTATATATCAAATTACATAGGGTATATATAACACATTCACATGTAACATAATCATTACTGATGATGACTAAATAAAGTCGAAACATTGAATCAAATTCAAAATGCTTACTTTATTTGGAGTTACCGTTGTATTGTAAGATATATACTAATTGCAGAGATACATGACACTAGTATTACACCTTAACAGTTTCACTAGCCACAACTAAATAAATTAAAGACTAAGCTTCTACACTATCAGTGGTAGTGTAAGATTTTCACTATTCGACCATCATGTACTTATACATGTTCTTTATTGTCATCCATTTTCAACTGGATGTTTCTTTCCAATTTATCCATGATACTTAGGGTACTGCTGCTGCACTGTTTGCTCTAGGATATATCTTACCATATGTCTTGTCATGCCATTCTCTCCAATAGATAACAGCATCTTCAAAGAGGACAGTAATGCTAATTAAGACAACATTATGTTAAGTTAACATAATTAAGTGCATAATAATAATTATATAGGGCTTTTATTAATCAATAGGATGGTTAACACATGAAACCCACTTTGACTTCGTTTTTTCTCTTCTAAGTGATGTGAAGCAATACTGGCACAAAAATAGAAAATGGAAATACTAAATAATTGACATATAAAGTAAACATTTACCAAAGTGTTTGCCAGGACAACAGCTGCTGATCCCTTTGTCCACCAGTCCTGACTGTTCATCTGGAATTAAACCTGCCATACACTCTTCCAGGACCTTTTCAAGCACTCCAATGGCCCATGCCATTAATATACCATGGGTAAAATATATGTGTTCAACAAATTGTTTGGGGAGGGGGTTGGATGATATGGGACCAACATTCTTGCTTTTTAATCTGGGATCGATACTCTTCCAGGACCTTTCCAAGCACTCCAATGGGATCTTTGGATGACGCTCTCCAAAATTCCAAGTATTTGATTGCCCATGCCATTATTAAGTGTGCCATAATCAGAAATGCATGAGAAATCGATTACATGTATTATTATCAAGTGATTAACAATTTATCCTTCCATTAATTATGTATCCTTATAATCAGGGGTGCACATTCAACAAATTGTTGGGGGGGGGGGGTTGTTGGACGATATGGGACAGACTTTCTTGCTTTTTTTATCTGGGATCGATTTTCTTGCTTTTATTTTGCACCCCGTGGTCTTTTCCCAAACATTTTGACTGGGAGAGGGAGAAGGTAAAAAAAAGTCATCATGGAAAGCGATAGTTTAAAAATTTTCCCTGGAGAACAAAAGAAAAATTACTTTTCAAAACATGATCCCAAAAAAAGGGTATACCTTTGTAAATTTTGAAAGCTGGGGTGGTCACACCGAAACCTCCATAATTTATGTGCACCCCTGCTTGTTATCCTGAGCAATAGGATCAAGGTTACCTTGTTTTCTTCTATAAATGGAAGGTTGTTGTGCAACAAGTCCTTATTGTATGCCGGGTGGTCACTCACAGGCCCAGAGTAGTTAAACTGGACTACTTTACCAATAAGTCTACATCAAATAAAAAATCAAAATTTAAAAATTGAGATCAACCAACCACCCTAAAAAAATTGATTATGAAAAACGGCATCTGAAAGACACCATATCCGTACACGATTGACAAAACACATGGTTGCATATAAATACTGTATGATATGTACTGTATGTATTAAAAAATCAAATGCTGTAATGCTAACACATAAAACAGCTTCATATCTGTGGAAGCTGTAATGCAATTGTTTGTAAAGTAATTAATGTACCTTGGAAGTTCTTCAGAGTTGGAAGTCATCAAGACTGCAGCTTTTGGAGCACTCATCCCTTCCTTGCTTGATCCAGCAAGCGAGCCTCCCTGAACTTGCAGCAAAAATGCAGTGAACATTTTTCTAATTGTTGAGTCACCAATCATGCCAACCACTGTGGTCCTTGACAAACTTTCCTGAATCTCTTTCTTTGATAGGAAAACAAAATGTACACTTGTTACAATTTCCTGGTTAATGTAAAAATAACCCTATCAACCAGACTGTGTCGGGTTGATAAGAAATCAGGGGCCCCTTGGTTATTTATCCACCTAACATGGTCTGGTTATTTTAACAAGGATGTCCTAGACAAATACAGTATATTCAGATTCCTGATTAATTAACTTAACCAGACTATGGTGGGAAGTGAGATAAAACTGAACCAGGAAATTTATCCAGGAATATCCAGTTAACCAAATAGTCTTTTTTCTAGGTTAACTGGGCACTTTTTTACCTAGCAGAGAGGTCCTATAGTGTAGCTATATACTCGTCTTCTAATACATCCCTTTCAATAGAAAAACATAGTGATTGTACAATTTGTGTAACTGTTATTACCAGTTATGATTGTTCAAGAAATAAAGATCGAGACATGTTCCAACTTATAGTGTACACAAAATCATTAATTTTTATCGTAAAGTTTGCATTCTCATTGGTTTGCTGGATGTCTGTTAACAAGGTATATTAATTTAAAACTGCAGTAATCGATATTGTGGGCGGATAATGAAGTTCAGTGCTTTTTTCAGGATATGAGAAAAAAGTCATGTAGTAAATTTAACATTATTCATCTATAGCCTCTTCCTTGTGCAATAAATCCTATATGCATAAAAGTGTGTAAGTTATATAATTTCGTGCCAAAGACTTCTTACATACATTTGATTGCCTCTGCTCAAAGACATGTGAACTCTTTCTGGTATCCCTTACTGGAGCCCAAAGATGAATAGGCTCAATGACTTCCCAACACTTTATGTCGAAGGAAATCATTCCCACATTACTTTCGGCTAGAAAATTAACATACATTCTGCATTAATTGGTAGAAAGTTACCAACAGCATACCATGAATGCCAAGCTACAGACAGTGGACACTAGATATATTTATTTACAGTAGTAGTATCTTGACATGGTGATCTGGGACTAATTATGAAACCTACCTGTTGTAGGGTTTGGGTGTTGGAATGATTATTCACTTGTGCCTCGCCTATAATCATGCATCAAGGCTACATGTTTTGAGCATAATACTTCAATGAAACCAAATTAACCAGGATCGGGCTACACATAATCATTGTCATTGCATATACTTGGAACAGTAAAATAGTGGATGTAGACAATGACAAAAAGATAAAAGTTGTTCCGAAAATGTTTTAAAATAAAGGAATACCGAATGGTTTTCCGTGCAGGATTGTGTGATCCATGCACACAGGATGTTGCGAGACTTTTGGAAAGTGTGAAAACACACAAGCCATAGGTGAGTGTATTTTTATGCTTTCTGAAAGTCGAGCAACATCCCAAGTGCATGGATATGCTATCCTGCACACAGGCTTTTAGCCACCTAGAACAAAAAATGGACGCCTTTGGATGCCCAAATTCCGGGGTAAAAGGGAAATTATTTTCATTGATTTCCCAAGTATATTAGTAAATATATCTGAAACAAAATAGCTTAAATTCTCATTATTATTATTATACACTTGACATTGTGTACCTGGCTGAATGAAAATGTAGTAGTTAAGTAAAGAAGCATAATGGCACAAACTCGCAAAGCCAAGTGTTTGGAAAAATTTCTAATGAGCTTGGAACAGATACTGACATGAATGAAGTAACTTAAAGTTCAAAGGTTTTCCAGAGGAACGTTTTTACTGCAGATGTATCGATGTACCAAAATTGGACGCCCTCTTTCAGGATCCTGGAAAACCATTTGGTAATTGTTTTATAAAATTACTACAGTGAAACAATGGTTAACTTGATTAAAATTGCTGATGAAATGTGCAGTTCTCACAACAATCGTGAATTAACCAATCAGAGAATCGCTACTCCAGGTTATTGAAAACAACAATAAATGTAACAGAATTTGATTGCAAATTCGCGAAAATTTTAAAATATACGAAATTTATTTGAAATGGAAAACCCACTAAACAGAGAGCCAAAGTAGTTTTGAAGATTCTCAACCTGAATACTTGAAGATTGCCATGGTTTGATGAATTTCAACGATTCATCATGGTCTGATGAATTTCAACGGTATGTATTGCTACTTGCTGAACAGCAATGTATCAATCAGAAATTTATTCATACAATTAAACCAACTACTCAATATTTGCAAACTTACTTCAAAGTCGAAAGGTATCGTACAATGAAACTTTACAATAGATTGCCATGGTTTGATGAATTTCAACGATTCATCATGGTCTGATGAATTTCAACGGTATGTATTGCTACTTGCTGAACAGCAATGTATCAATCAGAAATTTATTCATACAATTAAACCAACTACTCAATATTTGCAAACTTACTTCAAAGTCGAAAGGTATCGTACAATGAAACTTTACAATAGATTGCCATGGTTTGATGAATTTCAACGATTCATCATGGTCTGATGAATTTCAACGGTATGTATTGCTACTTGCTGAACAGCAATGTATCAATCAGAAATTTATTCATACAATTAAACCAACTACTCAATATTTGCAAACTTACTTCAAAGTCGAAAGGTATCGTACAATGAAACTTTACAATAGATTGCCATGGTTTGATGAATTTCAACGATTCATCATGGTCTGATGAATTTCAACGGTATGTATTGCTACTTGCTGAACAGCAATGTATCAATCAGAAATTTATTCATACAATTAAACCAACTACTCAATATTTGCAAACTTACTTCAAAGTCGAAAGGTATCGTACAATGAAACTTTACAATGCAAGTGTATCTGTAAAATTATGCGCAACAATTTCTGTTCAGAATTTCCTGTGCAGGATTGTCTGATCCTGTATATAATTGACCATACTGACTATGCCTTGATATGCAACTCCTGTATATATCTAAAAACATCTCCTCAGGATCACGCCACGCTTTCAGCCTTACACACTTTGTGTTTGCAGTGCACAATTTTTGTTCTTTGTCTATTGCACCATAGCACATATATCTTCATTTTCAGGTCAGTGTGAATGCCCGAGCAGGCATCTTGTTATGTAACAATGGTTATTTGTGGCAAACATCCGTACTGTAAAAATATATCTTGCATCATTGGAGATAATCCAGTAATTGTCACTCTGATATCCCATACATTCAGGCTCGAAGTATTTGCATGCTATCTCATTTTGCTTGTAGCCCTCTTTGAGATAGGTGTAGTAGGACAGCACTATGGATGACGAAACTTTCATTCCATGGAAAAATGTCCCCAAATCATACGCTATTCGTAGAGAGTCTTTAAAGTGCTGCTTTGAGTTAAAATCATTGAGATTCATGACAGTAGTTCTGTAAGATGGAAATTATTAATTGAAGTCAATTTCGTTTAGTAAAATATTTATCAGTCTTGCCTCTTGACCTTGTAGTGGCATGAAGCTAATGCCAGCTTATATAATATATTGAAATAATCCCTCAGCGGATTTAACTTCAGTTAAGGAACTGATTTCTAGATGTACATTTAATACCAAGAAACTAAAGAACATAGCCATTTTCATTGCACAGCCTGGCAACATTAGGTTTCAGTTATCCTGCCTTCCAATGGAATTTTCGAAAATGGAAGATTTCTGAATAAATATTTGGCGAAAACAATATAATACACCATAATTTTGAGTACAATATATGAACACCATAATTTTGAGTACAAGAGGGTGGAGCTTTTTGCTGACCTTGCTAATTTTCAGTTGGGCAGTTTCTATTTAAAAATCGAGCAAATGATACAGTGCTTCCACTTCATAAAACTGGGAAATCCAGTTTTCATCCTTATTTATTGCAATATTTCCTGCCAGAAATTGCAAAATTTCCTGGCAAATTTCCTTTATTTATATTTAGCCTTTGGAAGTTTCCCTACTGGTTTCATTTTTGTATTATAAGGGTATTTGTGGTTTGAAACTTTGAAGGAGTAAGTAACATATCATTACGTGTAAAGAACACCCGCATGCTAAGACAGTTGTGAGTTGAACATTTTTTCATCATCTTTCACAACATAGGCTACACCTGTGTGAATATAATTTAGCAGTTAACGTTAACAAATATAAAGTATACTAAAACTATAAAATATTTTGTAAAAATGGAACAATTTCCTGGTGTCCAGTGTAACTAAATAGTTCTAGCATATACTTGTATGAAGCAATGCTACCGAACAACAGTTTCATCAATCAGTCAATAGATACAGGAAAAAACTTGTCAAGAAATTTCTTTATTAATTCCTTGGCATTTGCTTTCATCTTGGCAGCAAATTCCAGCATCTGTTTGCTCGGTTGAAGTTTAGCAGCAGAAGTATTTCTGTTCTTCATTGCTGCGCTTTACACTGGAGAAGTGAAACTAACGACGACGATTTCAGGGAGGATCGGCAATCCGACTTGACTTGCTTTAATGCACTGAATGTTCTTTCTACTGCTGGGTTTGAAAAAGGAACAAGGCTATAATCGAAACAAACTGCATAAGACTTGGATACGTTTGTTCTCCAGTTACGGTCTTCGCATCTCTGATAACCCGCCAGTATTGTTCCCAACTCATCTCGGACTTAGCTTCACTTTCAGCAACTAGAACAAACCTTTTCTGGATTTGTAAAATAGCCTCGACAAGAAAATCCGTACAGTGTGTTCGAAATCGATCAAATTGCTCACTTTGGGTTTCACCAGCTCCGTCGGCTTCCATCTCGCATAACGTTGCAGTTGCAGCCATGCCAACATAAATCTGTATCAACGGAACATGGAAAGCACTTGATGTTGAATCAATCTTACTTGGAGCTGTTTTCTTCATGTAATCTAGAGTCATGAAATCACTGGCAATAGACTTAATCAGATCCTCTAATTCTTTCTTCAGGCTGTGAAGAGGGGGTCTCGTGCTTTGAAAAAGAATGTTGAAAGAGTTGCAGCATTCAAGTTGATAGCTGAGAAATTCGAAGTACGCTAAAGTGAATTTGTTTTGTCTTGTAGATACGATCATTAGAATGCATCAGGTCTTCATTGACAACCAGAGTGAAGAACTGTTTAAGAGCTTCGAATTGCTCCAAAATACGGTTTATGCAAGCTTGAAGAGAAAGCCATTGAGTTTGAGTTGGTGCCAATAACTTTAACGGTTCTGTGTTGAAAAAACATTGGAATTCCTTGTAAACGTCTTGCCTCTTTGACGATCGGTGAAAATGAGCATATATGTTTCTACATAGGTCCTTTAAGGCTGCATAGGAAGAGGCTAAATGTATCAGGTGACATGAGCATTTCACAAGTTGCACATTTGGTAATTCCGATTTTAACAAATGTGAAACTGAATTGTGTTCCCAAACATAACGTTTGTGGTGTCTGAAGAGCAACCAATTATGTTCTTCATGGGAATATGAAGTTCAAAAAACGTGGGTGTCATTGTAGAATAAATTCCAATTCCGCAGTGCCATCTTCAACCTCAACCATATCAACTAAATGATATTTTGACTCAAAAGAGTTCATGTCAAAATATGTAGCTAAAATCGTCATCTGCTTAATAGTACTCAAATCTGTTGTCTCATCAATAATAGCGCTAAACAAATGCATTGTAGCAAACTAACAACTTCATGCAGGTAGTCAAAACCCAGGACTCTTGATGGATGACGTTTGTTACCTTTTGCTTTCCCAACGTTAAGGATTTTAATGCCTCGTCAACTAGATCATTGGAGAGGGATATTGCCAAGTCGTGCTCAGCGAGAAATGCACATAATTTGATTTCCGTAGACTTCAGATGATCAAATGTGGTACTTGCACTCTTTTTGAAAAGACTGGTCACAGTACTAGTTGTGGACAATGCTGCAGCCTTCTTTTCGTGGCATTTGCTCTTCAGGTGCCTTTTGAATCCTGTGTTTGAGCAAGTAACTGACATTGCACATATCTTGCAGAAAGGTTTTGCTTGCCATCACGACCAGATTTTGCCTGAAGCCAACTTTTAAATTTGTCATGTTGCAACCAGCTTTTGACGAATCTCTGCTCTTTTCTCACTCATTTTGTTTTCACCTTTGGACCTGGCGCTTGACCACAACGCTTACTGCCGGTTTGTGTTAATTTCACGCCTGACTGAACAATCTCCGCCTTAAATTAATCATCTTAGCAATCACTTAAATTAAAAATCTTAGCAAACAGTGTCTTTATTCTTGAATTTTGAATCTCAACTGCTACCCATTTGAGTTGAGCCTGCGAGCGATTTCCGAACAATTTCCGAATTGTACCGAGCAAATTCCCGAAATTGATGCGACGCTGCCTATTGAAGGTCCAAATCAAATTGCAAGCGTTTGGAAACTCTATGATAAATAGCTTTCTACCTTCTATATATATTCCACATTTTACTAGTTACTAATGCCACATATAGACTATTTTAAAGCACCAATGGTTGGAATCGCAGAATTTCCTGCCATTATCATGGCAATTCATTGTATTTCCTGTCAATTCATTGTATTTCCTGTCAATTTCCCTCCAAACAGGATTTCCTGGCATTTTTCCTGCCAGAGCCCAATATTTCCTTTTGCCAGGAAACTTCCTGGCAGGTAGAAGCTTTGGAATTAAAGGAAGCACACACATTAAGTTGCATCAGACTGACTTCTTGGTTTTGCCCCTGATTTTGACTTAACTGTTGAATGTTGTTGCCATGTTCCCATCCAGTGCACTTAATACAAGAGGCATTAACCACCCCCTGAATGTTGGCTGATTTGTTGGCCTTCAGCAGTAATTTTCATTTTTTTGTGAAGTTATTAACAAATAGGAAAATTCACAATTATATAATACAAGGAACAATGATAATCTTAGACTACCATGTTACCACTCAATAAAGGATTGGAACAAACTGAATAAAGGCACAGTGAACATCAGTGAGGATGACCACCCATGCACTCCAGTAACTGAAATGTGCCCAAAAACTTAAATCCCACTTTGAAACCTGCTTGACATTCCGGAAGCATGTTTTGTAATAAATTTCAACAAAACTGTAACCGTTTACTTTTACGTTGTCCCGGGTGTCTCCTTTAGTTCTCGAGTTACAGCATTATTACCATATGTTCAGTATTTTACTCACTAAAGTGGTATTTCATAATTAATCGAATAATAGTTGAAAACAGAATAACTTAGTCTGCTTAGTTTCTCATATGAAACAATTATGTTAAGTACATAAATACACAGCGTATATATTAATATAGTTCGGCCAATGTTTATTGTTTAAGACACAACTCTCTAAGATGATGTTGTTAGAATTCCCAAATGTAATACGATCCGATATAAAGTCATCTCGAATATTATTTCACTCAATGTAGACACAATAAAAATGCAACAGTGATGTATTTATGTTATTCTTGTTCACAATTAAATATGCAATTTATGCAATGCAATCTAGAGGTCCACCTGTTCCTCTAGGTAAAACATAGTTTGGCGAGAGCCTCTAGACTGTTCGAGCACTTGTTGCCCATAATATATGCCACAAAAATCTGTCCGCTGTGTTTTCTGGTGTTTTTTTTTCAAACTGTGGTTTGGATGCCAGTTATTTCAACATATTAAACTTCATGTTTTATTTGTTCTTCCAGATTAACAAAAAGGTAAAATACTTTAATTTTTTCTGTGTTGGTGTTGTGTACTCAGGTGAATAATATGTTTGTGATGTTACTCTGAGTGTATATCCACACCGGGCGAGCTTGAAAAATATGCCCAGCCACGGTGGGATTCGAGCCTACGACCTTTGGAATACTAGCCCAATGCTCTTCCAACTGAGCTACGCGGTCAGGATGGTTCGAGTAAGTGATACTGTTCCGAAATATCACTTACTCGAACCGTCCTGACCGCGTAGCTCAGTTGGAAGAGCATTGGGCTAGTATTCCAAAGGTCATAGGTTCGAATCCCACCGTGGCCGGGCATATTTTTCAAGCTCGCCTGGTGTGGATATGCACTCAGAGTAACATCACAAACATATACTTTAATTTGTCTAACGTTTCGGCTTTCCTAAACGGAAACCATTATCAAAGACTATGAATCTATTAAAAATAGATTCATTATTAATTTTTAATAGATTCATAGTCTTTGATAATGGTTTCCGTTTAGGAAACGGAAACGTTAGACAAATTAAAGTATTTTACCTTTTTGTTAATCTGGAAGAACAAATAAAATCTGTTTCAACCTGGATTCAAACCCTTCAATATATTAAACTTCATTAACTATATTGTACTTATCCTGTCTCTGTTTCAACATATCATTTATGAACAATTGAAAATACTTCAGATAATTGTATATTGATGTGTTTTATAGCTAATATGTTGTTTCACAGCAGGGGAATTGACTTTATATAGGTCATTGGGTAGATGTCTCTATTACTGTGGCGTGTACGAATTCGGAACACAAAAAAGTTTTCGGATTGTGCACGCATAAAGGTCCATACACACCCGACACAATTTGGCAACACGACGCAATTTTTCCATTTTCATTGAATGATAACTTTGATCCTAGTTTAAATTTTCCAAATGTTTAGAAGTGTTATAACATTTCGAGTTATTTGGTCTACATATTTTTCAAAACTTGCTCTCATTGGCTGTTTTATTAACTTTCAAAAACTAAAAAATGGTGTTGTCAATTTGCGTCTGGTGTGTCTGGACCTTAACACACAGTTACTATGGGTTTTTACTACAATGGATTTGTTAAGTGTGCAAATAAGTATTGTCCTACACTTAGAATTGTAAATATTTTAATCCGGAATAACTGTTTCAGCACAAATTACTGGTATATGAATGACCTGTTTATGCACACATATATTATTTTCTGATTATGTTCTACACTATGTTCTAGTATATGGTATTATGTTCTGGGTAGGGTGGGGCAACGATTTATTGCTATTTGTAGATTCATGTACACGTAGCATACCTATTTTTGTAACAGTTAAAAATGGCCCGGAGGGCCTTTTTGTGGCCCGATTCTCTAAATACACTCCCTATCCTCGGGCACCCCTTCCACCCAACTATAACTGCCCTCCGCCATCATGAACTGTATACAACATAAAAGACAATAGAAGTAGAGCGTGAAAAAGTGTATTGGAATTCATTGTATTACAAAGTTTTATTAGATTATTTTAGAGCACAATATACAACACCATTCTTATATTCCCACCATATGTGAGATTTGTTATACATCTTATATGTTAATTTTATAGTGTCCATGAGCTAATGTACTAACACCATCTTCTAAAATGAAACGTTTATTGTTGTATAGACTTAAATCAATCTTGTTTAATTTGATTGTATTTGTATTTGTATTTAAAATAGATCCCCAGTTAGCTATAATGCTAGTTTACACGAGGTCTACAATACATTTGATGGAGTAGATCTCATGATCATTACTTCGAATCTGATTCATTACGTTTTTGTCTGTTTCTTATCGAATAAGCAGGTTTTATAATTGTCATGTCTTATCTTCTTATCCACCGACTTCTTTTATCCCTTTAGCTGTCTTCTTCTCAACCAGCTTGTTGGTTTCAATGTATGGCATAGAGTACATCTTTGGCCTCAAACCAATGAACTCTTGAATTGGAATACCATGTGTTTCATCTTTCATTTTCCGAAGGACTTTCTTGTTTCTGATACTGTACAATGGATGGCCTTGTGCATATTTGGATGATAATATCCATTTATCTTCCAGCATATCTTGATAAATGTTGTTAGTCTTGATCTCATAACGGAGGCTGTCTGTGAACAACAACTTGCGCTGCAGTCATACTTGACTATGTACTCATAATGAAATGACTACTATGTTCTCATGACTACTATGTACTCATAATGAAACTGATACACAAGTACATTAGAGAGATCCAGTATTGAAAATCTGATGTAAATTTTATGGTTTAGGCATAAAGCTTTGTTTTCTTCATATTTACTGCTGCTAAATCCTCAGAAAATATGCGGAAGGAATCAAACAATGGACGAGAGATTAGCTTTGTGAGCTTTGTCTTATTGTTGACCAACTTGACATTGACTCGCTCAGTTTCTCTTCTCAAATTCTCCACGGTTTTTCCAAACACCGAATTATTCATCAGCTTGTAGAAATATTTCTCAAAGTCATTCACAGCATGTTCTCTTCTTTCTGTGTTGAAATCAATATAGGCTTTGAACCATGGATTTTGTT